GTGTCCTTTTGGGGTCTCCATATCCCCAGGAGCATCACTTGGGGGCATCCCTGTGTCCTTTTGGGGTCTCCATATCCCCAGGAGCATCACTTGGGGGCATCCCTGTGTCCTTTTGGGGTCTCCCCATCCCCAGGAGCATCATTTGGGGGCATCCCTGTGTCCTTTTGGGGTCTCCATATCCCCAGGAGCATCATTTGGGGGCATCCCTGTGTCCCTTTGGGGTCTCCTCATCCCCAGGAGCATCATTTGGGGGCATCCCTGTGTCCTTTTGGGGTCTCCTCATCCCCAGGAGCATCACTTGGGGGCATCCCTGTGTCCCTTTGGGGTCTCCTCATCCCCAGGAGCATCATTTGGGGCATCCCTGTGTCCTTTTGGGGTCTCCCCATCCCCAGGAGCATCACTTGGGGGCGTCCCTGTGTCCTTTTGGGGTCTCCTCATCCCCAGGAGCATCACTTGGGGGCGTCCCTGTGTCCTTTTGGGGTCTCCATATCCCCAGGAGCATCACTTGGGGGCGTCCCTGTGTCCTTTTGGGGTCTCCTCATCCCCAGGAGCATCATTTGGGGGCGTCCCTGTGTACTTTTGGGGTCTCCATATCCCCAGGAGCATCACTTGGGGGCGTCCCTGTGTCCTTTTGGGGTCTCCTCATCCCCAGGAGCATCACTTGGGGGCATCCCTGTGTCCTTTTGGGGTCTCCCCATCCCCAAGGGCATCATTTGGGGGCATCCCTGTGTCCTTTTGGGGTCTCCCCATTCCCAGGAGCATCATTTGGGGGCATCCCTGTGTCCTTTTGGGGTCTCCCCATCCCCAGGAGCATCACTTGGGGGCATCCCTGTGTCCTTTTGGGGGTCTCCATATCCCCAGGAGCATCATTTGGGGGCGTCCCTGTGTCCTTTTTGGGTCTCCCCATCCCCAGGAGCATCATTTGGGGGCGTCCCTGTGTCCTTTTTGGGTCTCCCCATCCCCAGGAGCATCATTTGGGGGCGTCCCTGTGTCCTTTTGGGGTCTCCCCATCCCCAGGAGCATCACTTGGGGGCGTCCCTGTGTTCTTTTGGGGTCTCCTCATCCCCAGGAGCATCATTTGGGGGCATCCCTGTGTCCTTTTGGGGTCTCCCCATCCCCAGGAGCATCATTTGGGGGCGTCCCTGTGTCCTTTTGGGGTCTCCCCATCCCCAGGAGCATCACTTGGGGGCGTCCCTGTGTCCTTTTGGGGTCTCCCCATCCCCAGGAGCATCATTTGGGGGCGTCCCTGTGTCCCTTTGGGGTCTCCCCATCCCCAGGAGCATCATTTGGGGGCATCCCTGTGTCCTTTTGGGGTCTCCTCATCCCCAGGAGCATCACTTGGGGGCGTCCCTGTGTCCTTTTGGGGTCTCCATATCCCCAGGAGCATCATTTGGGGGCATCCCTGTGTCCTTTTGGGGTCTCCCCATCCCCAGGAGCATCATTTGGGGGCATCCCTGTGTCCCTTTGGGGTCTCCCCATCCCCAGGAGCATCACTTGGGGGCATCCCTGTGTCCTTTTGGGGTCTCCATATCCCCAGGAGCATCATTTGGGGGCATCCCTGTGTCCTTTTGGGGTCTCCCCATCCCCAGGAGCATCATTTGGGGGCGTCCCTGTGCCATCAGGAGGTGCCCAGGCTGCCCTTCAGGGCTGTCCCCGTCCCCAGGACGTCACACAGGGCTGCCCCCCATCCCCTGGATGTCCCTGTCCCCATCCCGGGGTCGTCTGGGTGTCCGTGGGTCTGAACCCACACCGTGCCCTACAGGAGCTGTCTGGATTCACCCTGGACCACGTGGCTTTCGAGGACGGGAAGGGCAAATGTCCCTACGACCCCACCAAGGGCCACACCGGCCTCATCGTGGGTAGGTGGCACCGCCGTCCCCCGGGTGACATCGGGGCCGGGCAGCCCGGCCCTCCGGCTGCCCCTGACGGCCCCATGGCGGCCCTGCAGATGGAGAGCTGTACTCTGCCACCTTCAACAACTTCCTGGGCACGGAGCCCGTCATCCTGCGGAACCTGGGGCCGCACTACTCCATGAAGACCGAGTACCTGACCTCGTGGCTGAACGGTGCTGCGGGTGTGGGGCACCGGGGTGTGGGGGGTGGGGGGCATGGGGATGTGGGGCACAGGGATGTGGGGGTGTGGGGATGTGGGGCACGGGGATGTGGGGCACAGGGATATGGGGGTGTGCGGGTGTGGGGCACAGGGATGTGGGGCACAGGAATATGGGGGTGAGGGGCACAGGGATGTGGGGATTTGAGATGGGGGTGTGGGGATGTGGGGCATGGGGATGTGGGGCACAGGGATATGGGGGGTGTGGGGGTGAGGGGCACAGGGATGTGGGGCATGAGGATGTGGGGCACAGGGATGTGGGGATTTGAGATGGGGGTGTGGGGATGTGGGGCACGGGGATGTGGGGCACAGGGATATGGGGGTGTGCGGATGTGGGGCACCGGGGTGTGGGGCACAGGAATATGGGGGTGAGGGGCACAGGGATGTGGGGGTGTGGGGGTGTGGGGATATGGGGAGGTGGGGCACGGGGATGTGGGGGTGTGGAGCATGGGGATATGGGGATGTGGGGGTGTGGGGCACAGGGATGTGGGGATGTGGGGCACGGGGATGTGGGGATTTGAGATGGGGGTGTGGGGATGTGGCACAGGGATGTGGGGCATGAGGATGTGGGGCACAGGGATGTGGGGGTGTGGGGCACGGGGATGTGGGGATGTGGGGCACAGGGATGTGGGGGTGTGGGGCACGGGGATGTGGGGATGTGGGGCACAGGGATGTGGGGATGTGGGGCACAGGGATATGGGGGTGTGGGGCACAGGGATATGGGGGTGTGGGGCACGGGGATGTGGGGATGTGGGGCACAGGGATGTAGGGCACAGAGATGTGGGGCACAGGGATGTGGGGATGTGGGGATGTGGGGCATGGGGATGTGGGGATGTTGGGATGTAGGGGTTTGGGTATGTGGGGCACGGGGAATATGGGGGTGTGGGGATGTGGGGCACAGGGATGTGGGGATGTGGGAGCATGGGGGAATGGAAATCTGGGGATATGGGGCACAAGGGCACGGAGATGGGGGATAAGGGGACATGGGAACAGGGAAATCTGGGGACATGGGGGCATGGGGTGTGGAAATGGGGGATATGGGGATGGGGAGACATGGGGGCACAAGGAAATGGGGATGGGGGGATATGGAGCCATGGGGACATGGAAACTGGGGATATGGGATATGGGGGCACAGGAACACAGGGATGCAGGGATATGGGGACATGGGGACTCGGTGTATGGGGACGTGGAGTTATGGGGACACGGGGATGTGGGAACGCGGGGATACGGGCATATGGGGACGTGGGGCTGTGGGGTGGCCTTATAGGTGTCTGTGGGATATGGGGTGGCCCTACAGGGGTCTGTAGGGTATATGGCGGCCCTACAGGGGTCTGTGGGATATGGGGTGGCCTACAGGGGTCTGTGGGGTATGGGGTGGCCCTACAGGGGTCTGTGGGATATGGGGTGGCCCTACAGGGGTCTGTGGGATATGGGGTGGCCCTACAGGGGTCTGTAGGGTACAGGGTGGCTCTACAGGGGTCTGTGGGATATGGGGTGGCCCTACAGGGGTCTGTAGGGTATGGGGTGGCCCTACAGGGGTCTGTAGGGTGCGGGGTGGCCCTACAGGGGTCTGTAGGGTATATGGCGGCCCTACAGGGGTCTGTGGGATATGGGGTGGCCCTACAGGGGTCTGTGGGATATGGGGTGGCCCTACAGGGGTCTGTAAGGTACAGGGTGGCCCTACAGGGGTCTGTGGGATATGGGGTGGCCCTACAGGGGTCTGTAGGGTACAGGGTGGCCCTACAGGGGTCTGTGGGATATGGGGTGGCCCTACAGGGGTCTGTAGGGTACAGGGTGGCCCTACAGGGGTCTGTGGGATATGGGGTGGCCCTACAGGGGTCTGTGGGGTATGGGGTGGCCCTACAGGGGTCTGTGGGGCTATGGGGATACGAGGACAGAAGGACGTGGGGATATGGGGGCACAGGGACACGTGGACGTGGGGCTGCAGGGACGCAGGGATATGGGGCCGCCCCGCACGATCCGAGCGTCGCCATCTGTCCCCACAGAGCCCCACTTTGTGGCCTCGGCCTTCATCCAGGAGAGCGCGGGCAGCAGCACCGGCGACGACGACAAGGTTTATTTCTTCTTCAGCGAGAGGGCGGTGGAGTACGACTGCTATGCGGAGCAGGTGGTGGCACGGGTGGCGCGGGTGTGCAAGGTATGGGGCGGCCCCATAAGGGGACTGAGAGGTGTGGGGTGGCCCTATAAGGGGTCTATGGGGGATGGGGTGGTCCTATAAGGGGACTGAGAGGTGTGGGGTGGTCCTATAAGGGGACTGTGGGAGATGGGGCAGCCCTATAAGGGGACTGAGAGGAGTGGGGTGGCCCTATAAGGGGTCTGTGGGGGATGGGGTGGTCCTATAAGGGGTCTGAGAGGTGTGGGGTGGCCCTATAAGGGGTCTATGGAGGATGGGGTGGCCCTATAAGGGGTCTGAGAGGTGTGGGGTGATCCTATAAGGGGTCTATGGGGGATGGGGTGGTCCTTTAAGGGGACTGTGGGAGATGGGGCGGCCCCATAAGGGGACTGAGAGGTGTGGGGTGGACCTATAAGGGGTCTGTGGGGGATGGGGTGGTCCTATAAGGGGTCTGAGAGGTGTGGGGTGGTCCTATAAGGGGTCTGTGGGGGATGGGGTGGTCCTATAAGGGGTCTGAGAGGAGTGGGGTGGCCCTATAAGGGGTCTGTGGGGGATGGGGTGGTCCTATAAGGGGTCTGAGAGGTGTGGGGTGGCCCTATAAGGGGTCTATGGAGGATGGGGTGGTCCTATAAGGGGTCTGAGAGGAGTGGGGTGGCCCTATAAGGGGACTGTGGGGGATGGGGTGGACCTATAAGGGGTCTGAGAGGAGTGGGGTCGTCCTCTTAAGGGGTCTGTGGGGGACGGGGTGGCCCTACAGGGGTCTGTGAGGTATGGAGTGGTCCTACAAGGGTCTGTGGGATATAGGGTGGCCCTATAGGGATTTGTGAGGTACAGAGTGGCCCTATATGGGTCTGTGGGATTATGGGGTGACCCTACAGGAGTCTGTGCCATATGGAGTGGCCCTATAGGGATCTGTGAGGTACAGAGTGGTCCTATAGGGGTCTGTGGGGTATGGGGTGGCCATACAGGGGTCTGTGAGGTACAGAGTGGCCCTATATGGGTCTGTAGGATATATGGTGGTCCTATATGGGTCTGTGGGATTATGGGCTGGCCCTACAGGGGTCTGTGACATATGGAGTGGCCCTATAGGGATCTGTGAGGTACAGAGTGGTCCTATAGGGGTCTGTGGGGTATGGGGTGGCCATACAGGGGTCTGTGAGGTACAGAGTGGCCCTATATGGGTCTGTAGGATATATGGTGGTCCTATATGGGTCTGTGGGATTATGGGGTGGCCCTACAGGGGTCTGTGACATATGGAGTGGCCCTATAGGGATCTGTGAGGTACAGAGTGGTCCTACAGGGGTCTGTGGGGTATGGGGTGGCCCTACAAGGGTCTGTGGGATATAGGGTGGCCATACAGGGGTCTGTGAGGTACAGAGTGGCCCTATATGGGTCTGTAGGATATATGGTGGTCCTATATGAGTCTATGGGATTATGGGGTGGCCCTACAGGGGTCTGTGACATATGGAGTGGCCCTATAGGGATCTGTGAGGTACAGAGTGGTCCTACAGGGGTCTGTGGGATATGGGGTGGCCCTACAGGGGTCTGTAGGGTACAGGGTGGCCCTACAGGGGTCTGTGGGATATGGGGTGGCTCTACAGGGGTCTGTGGGGTATGGGGTGGCCCTACAGGGGTCTGTGGGATACGTGGTGGCCCTACAGGGGTCTGTGACATATGGAGTGGCCCTATAGGGATCTATGAGGTACAGAGTGGCCCTATATGGGTCTGTAGAATATGTGGTGGCTCTACAGGGGTCTGTAGGGTATGGGGTGGCCATACAGGGGTCTGTGAGGTACAGAGTGGCCCTATATGGGTCTGTAGGATATGGGGTGGCCCTACAGGGGTCTGTGACATATGGAGTGGCCCTACAGGAGTCTGTGACATATGGAGTGGCCCTATAGGGATCTGTGAGGTACAGAGTGGTCCTACAGGGGTCTGTGACATATGGAGTGGCCCTATAGGAATCTGTGAAGTACAGAGTGGCCCTACAGGGGTCTGTGGGATACGGGGTGGCCCTACAGGGGTCTGTGACATATGGAGTGGCCCTATAGGGATCTATGAGGTACAGAGTGGCCCTATATGGGTCTGTAGGATATGGGGTGGCCCTACAGGGGTCTGTGACATATGGAGTGGCCCTATAGGAATCTGTGAGGTACAGAGTGGCCCTATATGGGTCTGTGGGATATGGGGTGGCCCTACAGGGGTCTGTGAGGTACAGAGTGGCCCTATATGGGTCTGTAGGATATATGGTGGTCCTATAGGGATCTATGAGGTACAGAGTGGCCCTATATGGGTCTGTGACATATGGAGTGGCCCTATAGGGATCTAGGAGGTACAGAGTGGCCCTATATGGGTCTGTAGGATATATGGTGGTCCTATAGGGATCTATGAGGTACAGAGTGGCCCTATATGGGTCTGTAGGGTATGGGGTGGCCCTACAGGGCTCCATAGGGCACAGGTTGGCCCTGTGGTGCTGGCAGGCTCTCAGTGCCGCTCACCTTCAGGGCGACGTCGGCGGCGCTCGCACGCTGCAGAAGAAATGGACGACGTTCCTGAAGGCACGGCTGCTCTGCTCGGCGCCGGAGCAGCAGCTGCACTTCAACCGGCTGCAGGCCGTGTTCACCCTGCCTGGAGCCAGCTGGCAGGAGACGGCTTTCTTCGGGGTGTTCCAGGCGCGGTGGTGAGCGGCGCTGCGTGGGTCTGGGGGGGGCCGGGGGTCTCGGCGCCGCGCTGAGGCTCTGTGTGCGCAGGGGGGACGTGGACGTGTCGGCCGTGTGCCGCTACCACATCCTGGAGGTGAAGAAGGCTTTTGAGGGTCCCTACAAGGAGTATCGGGAGCAGGCGCAGAAATGGGGGCGCTACTCGGATGAGGTGCCCAGCCCCCGGCCCGGGGCGGTGAGTGATGGAGGGGGGGGGGGGCTGGGGGCAGCGGGGGGAGAGGGGATGGGGGGTGGGGTGAGGGTTTGGGGTGGGGATGTGGGGCACAAGGCATGGGGTGCGGGGAGCGGGAAAATCCCCATTCGGTGCCACGTCTGCATGGCTCCAAATGAGCTCCGTGGGACACGGGGACACGGATGTGGGGACACGGGGGTGTGGGGACACGGGGATGCTGAGAGACTGGGACATGGAGACATGGGGATGTGGGGACATGGAGACACGGATGTGGGGACACGGGGGTGTGGGGACAAGGGGATGCTGAGAGACTGGGACATGGAGACACGGGGGTGTGGGGACATGGAGACACTGGGACACAGGGATGTGGGGACACAGGGATGTGGGGACACAGGGATGTGGGGCTGCAGGGCCATGGGGATGTGGGGACATGGAGACACGGGGACGCAGGGATGCTGGGACATGGGGACACAGGGATGTAGGGACACAGGGATGCTGAGAGACTGAGGCATGGAGACATGGGGATGTGGGGACATGGGGACAGAAACACAGGGATGTAAGGACACGGGGACATGGAGACACTGGGACACAGAGAGGTGGGGACACGGGGATATGAGCAGGTGGGGACATGGGGACACAGGGATGTAAGGACATGGGGACATGGGGAAGTGGGGCTGCAGGGCCATGGGGATGTGGGGCCATGGGGGGGTGGGGACATGGGGATGCAGAGTCACAGGGCCATGGGGAAATGGGGATGTGGGGCCATGGAGACACGGGGACACAGGGATGCTGGGCCATGGGGACGTGGGGATGTGGGGCCGCAGGGCCATGGGGAAACGGGGACAGGGGAAATGGAGCCAGTGGGGCACAGGGATGTGGGGCCACGGGGAAGTGGGGCTGCAGGGCCATGGGGATGTGGGGACATGGGGATGTGGGGCCATGGGGGCGTGGGGACATGGGGATGTAGGGATGTAGGGACATGGGGATGTGGGGCCGCAGGGCCGTGGGGAAACGGGGACAGGGGAAATGGAGCCAGTGGGACAGAGGGATGTGGGGCCACGGGGAAGTGGGGCCATGGGGAAACGGGGACATGGGGATGTGGGGCCTTGGGGGTGTGGGGACACGGGGATGTAGGGATGTAGGGACATGGGGATGTGGGGCCACAGGGCCGTGGGGAAACGGGGACAGGGGAAATGGAGCCAGTGGGACACAGGGATGTGGGGTCACGGGGAAGTGGGGCTGCAGGGCCATGGGGATGTGGGGACATGGAGACACGGGGACACAGGGATGCTGGGCCATGGGGAAGTGGGGCCACAGGGCCATGGGGAAACGGGGACAGGGGAAATGGAGCCAGTGGGACGCAGGGACATGGGGCCAAGGGGCCGCGGGGAAAGGAGGCGGTGGGGACGCGGCATCTGAGCGCGCCTTTTGCCGCAGTGCATCACCGACTGGCACCGGCAGAACGGCTTCCCCAACTCGCTGGCGCTGCCGGACAACACCCTGAACTTTGCCAAGAAGCACCCGCTGATGGACGAGCCGGTCCTGCCGCAGCGCGGCCGCCCGCTGCTGCTCAAGAAGGACTCCAACTTCACCCAGCTGGTGGTGGACCGCGTGGCGGGGCTGGACGGGGCCGTGTACGAGGTGCTGTTCGTCGGCACAGGTACGGGGAGAGGGGAATGGAGCCGGGCGCCCAGGAGGGGACGGGCTTCGCCGCATGCCATCCCTCGCAGGCGACGGCTGGGTGCACAAGGCGCTGAATCTGGGCTCCCACGTTCATCTGGTGGAGGAGCTGCAGGTCTTCGAGCCGGCGCAGCCCGTGGAGAGCCTGGTGCTGGCGGGGCGGAAGGTGAGAAGAGCGGCGGCGCCGCTGGGCTCCCAGCTGCTGGGGCGTCCCCTCAGCGCCCGTCTGTGCGCTTGCAGAAGCTGCTGTTCGCCGGCTCGCGGCTCCAGGTGGCCCAGCTGCCCGTGGCCGATTGCGGCCGCTACCAGTCCTGCGCCGACTGCGTCCTGGCGCGGGATCCCTACTGCGCGTGGAGCCGCAACGGCAGCCGCTGCGTGCGCTCCGACGGCCTCAATGGGTAAGGAGGGGCCGCCGCGGTTCTGTGCCGTGCCGCGGAGCCTTCCTCACCTTTTCTGCTTCCTCCTCCTCCTCGTCGTCCCGCAGGTCTCACCTGGTGCAGGACGTGCTGGGCTCCGACACGCGTGCCTGCGCCATGCCGCTGGTGGGGACACAAGGTGAGGGGGGACCCCGCCGTCCTTTGGGGCACCCGGCTCCTCCATGGGGGATATGAGACCCCAACCCCATCCGAGGGGGGTGGCAAGGGAGGGACGGGGACCAATCCATCCGCGGAGGTGGCGCGTGGAGGCACCCAGCTCCAGCCATAGGAAGCGGCACAGGGAGGAAACCCCAATTCCTGGGGGCGGTGTGGCGGGGAAACCCCGACTGCGTGATGGATAACGGAGGGGAGACCCTTCTCCATCCATGGGAGGTGGCGCGTGGGAGACTCCCCAACTCCATGGGAGGTGGCACAGGGGGGCACCCGACTCCGCGATAAGTGGCGTGGTGGGGAGACCCCCAGCTGCATCCATGGGAGACGGCACGTGAGAGACACCCAACTCCATGGGAGGTGGCAGGATAGGGAAACCCCAACTCCATCCATGGGAAATGGGACATGGGAGACACCCCAGGTGACGCACTGGGGACACCCAGCTCCATCCATCCCTGGGAGGTGACGTGGTGGGGACACCCCACCTCCATCCCCGGGGAACGGCGCATGGCAGACTCCCCAGCTCCATGGGAGGTGGCGCGGTGGGGACACCCAGCTCCGTGCATCCATGGGACGGCGGACAAACGCCCCAATTCCACCCATGGAGGTGACACCCAGGCACAGCCCCGCCCCCATCATCACGCCTCCATCCCTTCCCCGCAGGTGCCATCACCCCCAAGAACGTGACGGTGGCGGCGGGCACCGACCTGGTCCTGACGTGCCGCCTGGGTTCCAACCTGGCTCAGGCTCTGTGGACCTTCGAAGGCCGCGCTCTGCCCGCCCAGCAGGCGCTGGTTCTGCACGACGGCCACCTGCGCGCCCTGGTGGTGCCGGGCGCCGGGGCGCAGCACAGCGGAACGTACCGCTGCGTGGCGGAGGAGCGCGGCGCCCGGCTGGGCGGGGAGGCGTACCGGGTGGCCGTGCTGCCCGGGGCGCCGCAGGAGACGCGGGCGCCGCTGGAAAGCGCCGGGCTGGCGTGGGTCGTGGCCGTCTGTCTGGGCGCGGCGTGCCTGGTGCTGCTGCTGGCCGTGCTGTCGCTTTGGAGGAGGCTGCGCGAGGAGCTGGGCAAAGGCGCCAAGGCCATCGAGAGCACCCTGGTTTACCCCATCGAGCTGCCCAAGGAGCCGCACAGCCCGCGCTTCGTGCCCAGCGCCGCTTCGGATTCGGACGAGAAGCTGTGGGACCCGTCCAGCTACTACTGCTCGGACGGCTCGCTCAAGATCGTGCCGGGTCACGCCGTGTGCCGCAACGGCGGCCCGCCCGGTGCAGCTTCGCCGCCGGCCGCCATCCCCGGGCAGCCGCTGCATTCTCCCACCCGCATCCACCTGGGTCCTCTGCGCGGCTCCTCTTCCAACGGCTACATCCGCCTGGCCTTGGGCGCCGAGGAGCGGCCGCCGTGCGCCGAGCTGGCCGAGGAGCTGCGCCGAAAGCTGCAGCAGCGTCAGCCCCTGCCCGACTCCAACCCCGAGGAGTCTTCGGTCTGAGCCGCCCGACGCGGGGCTGCACCTACCTCAGGGACATCGCGACGGGATTCGGGCACCGCGACCGCCTTCGGTACTGCGCCCGGGACCGCGGCTGGGGACGGAGCCCGGGAATGTCACTGCCGTGGGGGACCGAGCCCAGGAATGTCACTGCCATTGGGACCCGGAAACGTCGCCCGCTTTTGGGGACTGAGCTTTGGGATCGAGCCCAGGGATCGTCGTGGGCTGCGGGGACTGCAGCTGGGGGTCTGTCGCCCGTCTTGGGGACGCTGGGGGCCCCGTCGCACCTCGGGGACAGCCCTGAGCGCCGGGGCCGTGCCTGGGACCCTCACCTGCCCCGGGTCCGCATCCCAGACCTGGCCGAGGGGACGCAGCCCTGGGCGCTGGGGCCTCTCTGGGGACCCCCGTTATGGCCCGAGTCCCACCACCACCCCCCCGCCCCCCAACCCGACCCCCCCCCGCCTCCTCCATCCCCACCGGCCCTTTTTGGGCCAATTCCCATCGTTTTTTCTCCTTGAGAATTTTGTACCACCCCCCCCTGTACATACCCCCCCCCCGCCGCCCCCTGCACGCTGCCCCTTTTGTATGCCTCCCCCCACCCCCAACCCCCCCCCAGTGTAATTTATTTGTTACCGAAATATATTTATTTGCTGTAAGCACGTGGGGTATTTCTATATTGATAATAAAAAGGAGGAAAAAAAATTCACATCCCCCCCCCCGCCCTTCCCCCCCCCCCAGCGCTGAGCTCACGGAAAGGGCTGCGCTCGGGGCTATAAAAGGGCTTCGCGGCGCCGTTCCCAAGGGAGGGGGGGGTGGGGGGGGGGCAGGGAGGGCTGTGTGTTTTGGGGGGGGAAGGGCTGACGGGAAGGCCGGAAGCGGCCTCGGGGTCCCGGCGGGGCCGTGGGAAGCGGGGCGGGGGGATCCCCGGGGGGAGGGGGGCACGCAGCGTGGGCAGCGCCGTGGGGTGGGGGGGGGGGGGGGGCGTGGCGATCGGGTGCCGCTCGGCTCCTTTCGGCTCCTCTCGTTTACACTCGACATCTTTCAATCCCACTCGGCTCCCTTCGGCTTCCTTCGTTCCTCCTCGGTCACCCCTCGGTTCCTTTCGTTCCCACTCGGCTCCCTTCGGCTCCCTCTCGACTCCGCCCATTCCCACTCGGCCGATCTCGGTTCCTCTCGTTCCACTCGGCTCCCTTCGGCTTCCTTCGTTCCTCCTCGGTCACCCCTCGGTTCCTTTCGTTCCCACTCGGCTCCCTTCGGCTCCCCCTCGACTCCGCCCATTCCCACTCGGCCGATCTCGGTTCCTCTCGTTACACTCGGCTTCCTTCGGCTGCCCCTCGGCTCCTTTCGATTCTCCTCGAATCCTTTCGTTCCCATTCGACTCCCTTCGCCTGCCCCTCGGCTCTTTTCGTTTCCCTTCGTCTCATTTCGTTCTCTCTTGACTCCCTTCGGTTCCCCCTCGACTCCGCCCATTCCCATTCGGCCCATCTCGGCTCCTCTCGTTCCCACTCGGCTCCCTTCGGCTCTGCATGCCCCGCTGATGGCGGCGGGCCGCCGCTCACCGCCGGGGCCGTGCTGCCCGCCGCGGGTGGCGGTGCCCAGCGTGCACCAGAGCCTCCCCGAGATGGACTTCGAGCGGGGTGCGCGCCTCGGGGCGGGGGGGGGAGCTGAGGGCACCGGACCCTGCTCTAACCTCCCGCCGCCCGCAGGGATCTGGGCAGCGGCGCGGGACGGGGACGAAGCTCGGGTGCTGCAACTGCTGGAACGGCGCGGGGAGCCCAGCCAGCCCGACCTGGCGGGGTACACCGCCCTGGTACGGGATATGCGAAGCAGCGGGAGGGCAGCGGGAGACCGTGAGCCCCCAGAGCTCACCGCTCCCCACCACCCCGCAGCACTACGCCAGCCGCAACGGGCACCTGGGTGTCTGCCGCCTGCTGCTGCAGCGCGGCGCTCATTGCAACGCCCGCACGCCCGGCGGGGCCACCGCCCTGCACCGCGCCAGCTACTGCGGGCACGTGGCCGTGGCGCGGCTCCTGCTGGCGCACGGTGCTGACCCCGCCGCCGCCGACGGGGACGGCCGCACCAGCCTGCATAAGGTGCGTGGTGGCAGCGAGGGGACGGTCCGCCCCTGACGGGATGGTCCGCCTTCCCGTGGTGTTGGTGGCATCCCCACGGTGGGTCGCACGCAGGCGGCGGAGCGCGGTCACCGGGAGCTCTGCGTCCTCCTGCTGCAGAACAGCCCTGCCTTGCTGGCTGCTCGTGATGCTAAAGGACGGCGGCCCCGCGACACGGCCGACCCCGCGGTGTGGGATCTGCTGGAGGGATGAAGGGAGGCAGCGAGGACGCCGCGGATGGAGGCAGAGGGAAACGGCCCCGCTGGGAAAAAAAAAGCAAAGCTCTGGGCCCGAATGCTGCGTCCGCCTCTTTGTCACTGCGCCTGGCGGGGCGTGGGGTCACCTCGGGGGTGGCAAAAGGATGACGGTGGTGCCAAGGGTGGGGACAGCGCTGGCCCAGAGCGCCACTGCACAGCCTGGGGAGGGGGTGGGGCGGGAACCTCAATTTTTGCGCTGCCGGGACAGAGCGGTGCTCCTCCAGCAGCGCGCATTGCTTCAGAAAAAGAAAGAACTCAACAAAAAGCCCCAAAGACCGAGCAACGGGTCGGCAGTGCTGATAGAAGAAAGGCAGCACGGCGTCCCCACGGGGAGCAGCGGTGGTGGGGGGTGAGAGAGCGGTGCCGACGGCAGGAACGGCGCGGGGAGCCCCGCCGAGGCCTCGCTCCGCCTCGCCGCCCGCTCCGCTCTGCTGGACGCGGCCTGGTCTCGCCTGCAGGAAGGAACGATAAAGCGCGGCTGTTGAGCACGTCGGCCCCTCGCTCCTCCCTCAGTGCCGCTCCACGTGTACCGTCCCGAGCCCCCAGAACCGTACCGACAGAATAAAGACAATACCGGACCGCCCCCCGAGCGCTGCACCTTTATACACCGCCGCTTCCGCTTCCGCCGGCCGTCGCCATGGAAACACCGGAACTCAGTACTAGTCCCGCCCCTTTCCTCACCCTCCCCACCAATCGCCAGCCGTTTTGCTGGCTCTCCTCGTCACAGCCAATCGGCGACCGCCACCCCCTCCCCCGCGCGGCGCTGTAAACAACAGCTCGGTGGGATTTAAAGGCGCCGCGCCCCATTCCGCCCCCTCCCACCCCCGAAGTCGCCGAGCCCGACACAAAGATAGAGAATTTTATTAACCAACCGGCAAAAAATAAAATAAAGTTCCATAATCCGTTCCACAACCCGGAGGGGAGGGGCGTGGGGCCGCGCAGGGCCCAGCATCCTTTCCCCAAATATACAAATCAAACCTGATGCGAAAATAAATACAGATTCTTGAGCTGGGGGTTGAGGGGGGGGGGGGGGAAATGGGTTTGCATAGAGGAAGATTTAATAAAAAAAAGGGTTTTCACCGTGGTTCATTATTATTAATTATTATTATTCCTAGCGTCTCCCCGCAGCAGAACCAGGCCCTGATCGTCACGACATGATTAACGCAATTAATTCCCCTTCTCCCAATAACTTAACGGCGATCACTGGGGGATTGTGCTTTGTGGGGGTGGGGAGCAGTGATGGGGGGGTGGGGGGTCAAAGAAACCCCCAACGGAGGGGCTGCCCCCTCGCCGTCCTTTGGTCGCTAGCTGTGTGCCCCCCCGAGCCCCCACCCCGGGGCTGCGGCACTCCCTGAGTCACATCATCACCCCCTCCTCTGCATCGCTTCCATCATTCATGGCGGGGCTCGGGGTGGGGGGGGGGAAGAGGAGGGAAAGGGAAGGGGAAGATGGCGGCGGTGGGCCTGGGCCTGGTTTTGGCAGGAGGAGGCCCGGCCTGCGGGACCTGAACTCCCTGAGCTGCACCGAGCGGAGGCTTCAGCCACAACGGGGGGCCCTCCGCCTCTGCGTCCTGCCGTCCCCGAGCAGCAGCAGCACCGGGCCGGGCTGTCCCTCCTCCGCCGCTCCCATCGGAACCGCGTGCGGCTCCCAGCGCATCCCCGGCCCGCGGGCGGCTCAGATGGAGTTCTCGATGGGGCCGTGGGTGCTGCGGCGGCCCAGGCAGTTCCTCTCGTTCAGCAGGCTGGTGGTTTCATCTGCCGGCTCTGTTTTCTCCTGCAGATCGGTTTTGGGAGCGCCGCTGTCCGGAGATTGGGGACAACTGTCCATGCGCGACGTGGTGAGACCGTTCTGGTATTCCTGCCGCGTGATCTGCGCCAAAGCAAAGCCGCAGTGAGGCGGGGGCACGGCCTGGCAGACGGGTCCCCGTCCCCCCCACCCCCCTAAGCCCCACACGGCCTCACCTTAACGAACTGCAGGTCGGTGAGCGCACGGACGCTGAAGTCGGCCACGTACGGGGCGACGGCGCTGAGCTGGTTGTTGCTGCCACCAACCGGGGATGAAACGGAGTCGGAGCGTTCGTGGCAGCTGAGCGAGGCCGAGCGGTTGAGGCCGCTGACGTGGGATGGGGAGCGGGTCTCTGTGGGATGGGGACAGGCTCAGAACCACCTCAGAAGCTATTCGGTCCCTTTGCTGCTCCCTGTCCCGCTGAATCAAAGGGGGACGACGGGGACAGCACGTGCTCAGCAAGGCAAGGGTGATGGATGAACCGCATGAAGCACAGGGAGGGTGGCATCTCCTCGCCACCTGGATGCGGCCCCAGTGCAGGTGGGTTCCCCTGCTCCACCTCTGGAGCCACAGGTGGGAGTAAATGGGGTGGGTGAGGGGAGCACAGGAGCCTCGTGACACCAGGAGGGGGAGCAGGAGCTCAGCGCTGTCCCCCAAAGCCCAACAGAGGCTGAGGAACTGCCTCTCCTCCTGTAGGAGCGTTTTTCCTCCTCCAGGAGAACCCGGATCTGCCAGATCCCCCGTGCAGCCCTGAGGGAATGACAACCAGTGCCACGTTGACATGGCCCTGGGGTGCTGAGGATACCAAATGCTGAGTTAACTCAGCCTGGCAAACAATATCCCGAGGGCTAAGGATTGGCAGGCAGAGAGACAACGTGACAGAAGCAGAGGACAACGTGAAGAGAGAGCGCCGGGGCGATGGCAGAGGGCAGGATGGAGCGGTGGTGGGGCTGGAGAAGCGCTGGGGAACCCTGGGGTGCTCACCCGACACAGGAGGTGGACTGATGGCCATCACCCCGTAGTAGGAGAAGGCTCCTGCTTCAAACTTCATGCATTCCTTCCCAGCCTCCACCTCCACCTTGCCCTGCGAGGGAGAGGCAGCGTCAGGCTCCGTAACGCCACGTCCTGTGGCACTGGGGTGGGTGGAAGGAGCTTGCCCGTGGCTTTGGTGATGGGCAGCATCACACCGATGGAACCCAAGGGACACTGCCAGCCCGTGGTACCTGCAGGATGAGGATGAAGTAGTCGGCAGCCTTGTTCTTGGTGTAGAGGAAGTGGTGCGGGGACTTCTTGTTCTCCTCGTCAAACTTCAGCTCCTGGATGACGTCGGAATACTTGAGCAGCCTCAGCAGGATCTTCTCAGAGATGAAGTTGGGTGTGAAGAGCGTCACCTCTGAGAGCGAGACGGGAAAACGGGGTCAGAGCTGCGGGCTGCCCCTGCTCCCAGCCCTGCAGACGGAGGTGCTGAGGGGTGCAGATGAACAGTCCGCCCCTCGGGGCAGCGCTCTGCATCCGGGGCTGGGCCTCACAACACCTCCCTGCCACAGAAACCCCCGGGTCTGGCACCTCCAGCAGCCCCACAGGGAGAGCACCCAGGTCCCCAGCCCCAGCTGTACGGTGACACGTGGCAGCACGTGGACAGGGCCTTCCTGCTGGGCAAACAGCCTCATTTGTGGGGACAGAGGGGAAGAGAGCAGGGTGTCATGGTCACAGCCCCTCGCTTCCAGGTCTCCCACCCAATCTCTGGCCCCTGCTGGAACGCAGCGCCCTTGGTGCTTTCCTGTCCCCATCCTAGGGATCCTCCTAGCAGGACGAGGCCGCTGCACCGACCTCCCCCTCCTGCGGGGCCAGCAGGGCTCCCCCCGACAGATCGGCAGCAAGCAGGACAACAGCAGCGCAGGCAAAAATGCAAAACCTCTATCATTTCTCAGCTACAGAGCAACGAGAAGGGAACAGAAGCCTCGTGGCTCCAGGAGCAGCGGCGCAGAGCTGACGTGGACACACGGAGCACTCCCAACAACTCACCCGTGGAGAGGAAGCGGTGAGCAGCCAGCAGCAGCTGCGGGGAAACCTTCACCTTCTGCTCATTGACGGGGTCCTTGAAGGCTGAGAAATCCCTCTTGCCCTTCTGGTTGCCCGTCCGCTTCTTGCTGCGGTTTTCATCGGCTGCTATCGGGGTGACAGGGCGGCAGGTGGCACCCAGCTCCCCCGCACACTGCGGGGACGCGGGGCTGAGCCCCACACCTACCAAAAGCATCCGACTCGTCCAGGATCTCCGACTTGATGATCTCCTCGATGACGTCCTCCAGCGTCACCAGCCCCAGCACCTCGTAGAAGGGATCCCCCTCACCCTCGTTGTTCACCTTCTGCACGATGGCCAGGTGTGATTTCCCTGCGGACAGACAGGAGGACGTCAGACAGACACGCTCCGGTCAACTCACAGCATGGGCTCAACCCTACCACACTCCCTGCGCAGGGACAATAAGGACATTATGATCCAAACGAGCCCTGGGCTGGGCGCTCCTTCCCTGTTTAATGACAGCAATTAAGGGCAGAGGCACCCGCAGGACTGGGGACACCTCAGTGTGAGGGAAGGGCTCAGCCAGAAAGACGCAGCCAAGGGGATGTGATCTGCAAGGACCTGGCTCGTGTCACCTGCACTCACACGGGACCAGCCCTGCTGAGTCAGGACGCGATTCCTCCCCATGGGTGCAGAGGGAACGAAAGCAAAGGGCAGAGATCCCACTCACACCCTCGAGGCCCCCCCACGATCCCCGCGCATCCCAAAAGCTGCACCCCAAAAGTGCCGGATCCAGGTGAAACCCTGGGCTTCCCCTTCTGCAATGCAGGGTTTTGAGAGAGGGGACGGGAGGGGGGCACCCCACACCTAACGAAGGCCAAGGGGTGAAGCAACCCCTCCCTGCCCTGAGCCTCGTGCTGTGCTCACACCGAGAGGAGCAGGAAGAGGAGACAAGCACCGAGCGCTGCTGCAGGATCTGTCACCCCAACGCCAGCTTTTGTGCCACCTCCATGGCACCATTCCTGCAGGCAGGACAATCGGGAGCGCGGCCGATTGCTTTCACCTCTCCATCCTTTTGCTCAGCGGATTTCCAACGCTTCCAACCCTGGAGAGAGGACTTGGGGGCTGACCCAGATCCCACACACAGCCAGGCTGCCAGCTCCCCATTTCTGACCCAGCAGCAAACAGCAGTGAGGGCCGTCGAGGCTTTGTAATCAGAGCGATTGCACTTCA